TAATTTATACAATTAACCTCCCTGTGGTTCGACCCGGGTCTTGCCGGGTTATTTATTACTTCGATACTCCTGCACTTGGGAGAAGAAATCAATCTTTTAGCCGTGTTAATTAGGTTGATCTCTAAGTCAAGTTTTAAAACTATGATAATAACCACTTTTATTAGTACATTGACTCGAGTCAATTATCAACATGAAATGTGACCCGGGCTTGGTTGATCAAGCCTAACCTTGAGTCGATCCCCAAGTTGGGTTTTAAAATTATGATAATAATTATTTTTATTATAAAGTTACCCCAAATTAATGGTTAACCTAACTTATAACCTCAACCTAGCACCGAAATAACCCTTGAATTAGTTTTAAGTTTATGATAATAATCAATTTTATCCTTATATTGACCTAAATAAATTGTCAAACTGACTTGTGCCCTATGTTTTGGATTCAATTCAACCCCAAAATCAAGTTTTAAAATTATAATAATAATTATTTTTATCATTACTTAGACATGAGTCACTAGTCAATTAGGCTTGCCATTCAGACTTTGTCTTGGGTCGATCCTTGGGTCAAATTTTAAAACTATGATAATAATTATTTTTATCCTTATATTGACTTTGGTCAATGGTTAACCTGAACCGTGACCTGGGCCTGGTTGATCAACCCTAACTTTGAGTCGACCCTTGAGTTGAGTTTTAAAACTATAATAATAACCATTTTTATTTTAAAGTTAACTTGAGTCAATCGTCAAACTGACTTATGATCTGAGTCAGGCCCCAGGTCAATCTCCGAGTTAAATTTTAAAAATATGATAATAATCACTTTTAATTTTTATTCTTACATTGACAAAGGTCATGGGTTAACCTAGACCATGACCTAGGCTTTTTCCCTAGTTGACTTTCAAGTCAAAATTAAAAATTATGATAATAATAATTTTTATTATTATCTAGACCTGAGTCAAGGGTCGGGTGACCCGTGACCTGACCCTGAGTCAACCCCTAAATTGAATTTTAAAATCATGATAATAATAATTTTTATCCATATGTTGACTTGAGTTAATGATTAACCTGATCCCTAACCCGAGCCTAGATGATCAAGCTTAGGCCCAAGTTAATCTCAGGTCAAGTTTTAAAACTTTGACAATAACCATTTTTATCATATTGCTAATTTAGGTCAATGGTCAATCTGAACTATGACCCAAGCCTGATATCGGGTTAACCCCTAAGTCAAATTTTAAAATAATAATAATTATTATTTTTGTACTTTTATTGACTCAAGTTAATTGTCAACCCGACTCGTGACCCATGTTTGGCCTCGAGTAAACTCCCGAGTTGGATTTTTAAAGTATGATAATAATTATTTTTATATTTATATTGACTTAAGTTAATGGTTAACCCAACTTGTGACCTATACTTGGCCTCAAGTCAAATTTTAAAATTATGATAATAATTATTTTTATCCTTATATTAACCCTAATCAACTAGATAAATCATTGTGCCGAGTATCAGATAAGCTTGTCATGTTCTTCTTTTTAGTGGAACAAAAATTTCTTTATAGGAATAATTTTGGATAGCACCAAACCAACTTCACAAAAAAACTGTCTTGTCCTTATCATTATTATATAGCATGCGAAACACTTTATAATTTTTATTTTTATTTATTTTTATGTGTAATCAAATCTAATTTTCAAAATTAAAAATTGATTAGTGAGGACCTGACTTGGAATATTGGAAATTTTATAGAAATGAAGTTAAATTCTTTTATGTTATTTTTATTCATGTATTGCGTATCTTTTAAATAAATAAAAATGATTTAAAATAAAGATGAAGATTGATTGGTTAGGTTTGTGTTTGAATAATTCAATCATATAAAAAAATATTTTTTTTTATTAATATAGGTATTCAGATAACTTGTGTATATTTCGAACATTTTATATATTTTAAAATTAATAATTATATAAGCGTAAATTATTAACAACTATGAAATTTAAATTTAAAATCATAAATTTTTTTTTGGATTTCAAGCCGACTACCTGCTAAATAATTTCGTAAAATAACTATCATAGACTCACCTATGTATGACTTTTTTGTGTTGTGATGCACCTTCCCTTTGCCTATTTATGTGCGGCGTGTATACGTGTGTGTGGAGAGGGGATAGCTTACGTATGACTCTTTGCTGCCATGGACCTCCCTATCACGTGTACTGTTTTTTTTTTTTTTTTAGTGAATTTAATGGGTGTTTACTGGTGTCATAATAATGATTTTTAAATTTTTTTGGATTAAATATATATATTAAAATAATTTTTTTTAAAAAATGATTTTTAATATTAAAATGATAAAAAAATATAAAAAATTTAATTTTAAGCATATATTTTTTAAAACTTTTAAGAAACACGTTACAATCATATTCTCCGAACAGCCTTCGCGCAGAACAATCTATAAATGATTTCAAAATGATTAAAAGGTAAA